TTTAGGCACTAATTAATCTTTGATTAGGGACCAGATTTATGGTCCCTAAAAGTGATTTAGGGACAAGATATAATCCAATCGCTAAAGTTCTTTAAAGACTGGCAATAAAATCTCGTCTCTAGTAATCAATAGCGACGAAGCCTATAGGGACGGGTCGCAACCAGATTTTTCTGGTCTCTATTGACCTTTAGGGACCATTTTTCCCTTCCCTAGTGGTCCATTTTCTTGTAGTGATATTATATATATGGGTTAATCTTTTTCTTATCATTCTTGAAAGGGGAAACCATAGTTTGGCCCATCTTTTTAACAACCATTGTTGTCACTGACTTCTTATCTTTCTTTGGAAATACACTTCCATTATTCTTTGATGTGCCTATTTTGCCCTTTCCATTGTTATCCATATCTCTTCTCTTAGAAATAATTATGAATATGATGAAATGTAGTGTATTATTGCTTTGTTGCTTTAACTTGGATGATTTGAGGAGCTCATAAGTTGAGGTATTTATAAGAGTTTTGAGGCCTTTGTTTATTTGTCATGAAAGTTTTCATGCAACTCTGGTTAAATTTCTATGTAATTAGCTTATGTATAATGTGTGAGTGTGGGTTTTTGGATATTTTTATCTAAGGCTAACAAAGAGAGAATGAAAATTTTAAGTCAAAAAAAAAAAACTATATATAGTTGAATGATTTTGTTGTCCAAATAAAAAGACCATCCAAGAAATTAACTCTTGTTTGTGTAGTTGAGCCAAGGAAACTACCTATTAATTTTTCAAGTTAAATTGCCAAAAATTAATTTTTATTTTATTTTTTTCTTGAAATGTAATGTGTGTTTTGTGTGGTTTGGTTTGTTCATTTTAATATTTGTGAAGTCATATGTGTAGATGAGCCAGTAAAATAGGAATTTAGTTTTTTCATGGTAACTTAAATTGTTGAAAATGTCTGTGTGTTGGAGGGGTAATGGATTTGTGTGGGTTTGTAAATTAATTATGATGACTACTAATTTTTTTTAAAAAAAAAAACCATGTGATTGTCATACATTTCTAGGAAATGTTCAAGTACTCCATAATACTTATGATAATAGTTTATTTCAAAAAAATACTTAACCAATCAAAAAAAATTGATTTTACTTTTCCATGTAATTTTACTATCTTCATTACCAAAAATTCTATATATTTTTTTTCTTGTAAAGGAAGAATGTCTATCATAATCTTACATGAAAAAAAGTTGTTATTTCTACTATCAAAATATATAAACAGAAATGAAAATAATCTGCCAGCTGGATGTCCCCTGAATTTTGTTACTACTTACTATATTCATAATTTTCATTGCTATTATATATATTGATTTCTTAATATTGTGTTGTTGCGTATGAAATACAAGTATCGATAGGATAACCAAAAAAATTTAGCGTGTGTAAGTGTTTCCTTTGGCATTATAGAATGTGATTTCATTATTTACCTTAAATTTTCACCCTATTTGAAAATAAAAATGTGAGTAGTCCACTTTAGTTTAACATAATAAAAAAAAATTAACAACGGTGTAACATTATTGGGGAGGAAAATTAAATAAACGAAAATGGAGACTCTATAACAACATACAACGTCCTTAGCTTGTAGGCTAATTAACATCACAAAAATAACATAATACTAAACAATAATTTATTGATGAATTTAACTTACATGCATCAATAGTATTGTACTTAAGGAATCAGGTAAATCATGTAAACATTCTTTACAATATTGTCAATATATATAATTTAAACTATCGGAATACATATGAATTACATAAATACTTTATTCAATAATATTACCACAATCCAAAAAAAAAAAAAAAACAAGTTCATTGGGACTAAGAGGAGGTGCCATCAGGGTTAATCTTTTTCTTATCATTCTTGAAAGTGGACACCACAGTTTTGCCAATCTTTTCAAAAGCCATTGCCTTCACTGATTTCTTATCTTTCTTTGGAAACACACTTCCATTCTTTGATGTGCCTTCTTTGCCCTTTCCATTATTCTCCATATCTTTGTTGATAATATAGTATAACTAAGTAAATAAAACTGTGTTGTTCTATGTAACAACTTAAATATTTAGATGAAATGATCACACAGACACAGTACTTCAATAATCTCTTCTCTTAGAACTTATGAATATGAGGGAGTGTATTAATGCTTTGTTTGCTTTTAATTTGTGATGTTTTGAGGAGTGCATATGTTGAGGTATTTATAGGAGTTTTGAGGCTTTTGTTTATGGTCATGAAAGTTTTGATGTAACTCGTAGTTGAATTTCTGAGTAATTAGCTTATGCAAGATTAAAAGAAGATTGTTAATTATTTCTTGCATGGAATGTGTGAGTGTGGGTTTTTGGGGTTTGAGTAAAAAAAAATTGTTTTATGATTTTGTTGTGCAAATAATAAAAAAAAGTTATAGTATGTTATTTTCATAACTTGAGATGACTTTCCAAGAAATTAAGTCTTGTTTGTGTGGTTGAGCCAAGGAAACTACGTAGTTATATTGTTCAAGCTAAATTACCAAAAACTAATTATTATTTTATTTTTAAAATTCTTGCATGGAATATATGTTTATGTGGGTGTGTGCTTTCGGATTGTTATTTTTAATGTGAAGTAATCATGTGTGTTATTAAGAAATTGTGTGTGGATGAGCTAGGAAATTGATTTTCATGCTAATTTAAATTACTGAAAACTAATTTTCTATATAGTTTATTTATTTATATTGCATGGTTGTGTGTGTGTTGTTGGGGTAATAGGTTTGTGTGGGTTAATTTGTAGATTAATCAGGATGACTTCTAATTAATTTGTTATACATTTCTAGGAAATGTTCAATTTATTTTAAAAGAATAGTTAACTAATTGAAGAGAAAATTGATTTTATTTTTCCATGTAATTTCACTATCTTCATTACTAGCGCTTTGCCTTGTAAAATATATAAATAGTAATTTTTTGTATACGTAGCATGTCCCTTTCATAATCTTACCTAGAGAAGTATCTTAAATCTTAAATAGTCAGCTAGCTAGATGTGTTTTAAAATATATATTAATGGCACAAATAAATTAATATGAAAATAATATAAGATTTAATGATTTCGCAAATTCAGGGATAAGCACACTCAAATTATTAATTTCAACTTCAATTTTTCATGTCTATACCTTTTGCTTGAAAACTTTATGCTTAAAACATAGAATACCTTCTAAAATTAACAATTTATGTAATTTATGGTTGAATTTCTAAGTTAGTTCATGTAAAATTGAGAGAACGGGTGTGTTTGGTATGCAGTTACATATTTTTCAATTTTCTCATGATTGGTTCAATCTGGGATCAAGATCGGGGTAGGTCTCAACATCAACGTCATTGGGTGTCAGGTCGTGGATGGGGTCGGTGTTCAAATCCTGGGCTAGAGTTAGGCTAGGGTCAAGTTGAGAATCAAGTTCTACAGTGGGATGGAGTCAGTATAGAGGATTGGGGCTAGGATCGTGTCTCGGGTTGGTATTGGGGTCAAGTCGGGGTGGAGACGCGTGCTCGAGTCTATGTTAAGACTGGTCGGGGTCCTAGTTTCATGTCATATCATTTAGACATTTTGAGTTTGTTGCCTCAACATTTCCTCGCGGTGACAGGGAGACCCTTCAGCGTTATAGGATATAGTGATTTCAATATTTATCTTTAAAATGCTCACCTCATATTAAAATAATAATTCGAGTACTCTTTTTTTTAAAAAAAAAAAACGAGGATAGGGAATGATGAAGGAGAAATTGTTGGGTTTTGGGTCTTTTTTCCTTCTTATGTGGATAAATAAAAGTTCAAGGTTTTGGATTTTCTTTCTTTCCTTTGTAGATAAATTTAGACCAAATTGACTAGCTCACTTTTGCCCATAAGCCCAATATTATGGTGCATATGTAAGACTTTCTTTTTAGGTCTTATTTTGAAATATAACAAGAGATTGAGAGCAGCCATATAGAGAAAAGTGAGAGAGTGCAGATTTTCGCACAAGCCCTAACAGTCAATTTCAAATCGTGATTCCCATTTTGTTTCTTATCCGATTGAGCTGATTTTAGGACAGCTTGTTCCTTTCAACTTAATCTTTGATTGGGAACTGAGAAAGTGGTTTGGATTCCTGTAGCTCTAGATTTTTGCTCGTGAACAGTAGTTGCGTATTTGGGGTTTTTGCTCCTTTTATTTCTCTAGTTTTTGGTGTTATCTTGTAGTTGTGTTGCTCATTGTTTGGCACTTTGTTGGTGGCCATTTTGGAGAACACTTTTGTAACTCTTGTTGATTTTAGTGGAGCTTTGGCCTTGTGATTTTTACCCTTCACACCGAAGAGGTTTTCCATGTTAAATTTGGTGTCTCGTTTGTTGATTTATTTTGCTTGCTTGGTCTGCTGCCCCAAACGGTGTTTTTCTTGCATTATTTTGTATTCTCTTGGTTCAAATAGAAGGGAAAATTTAGACTTGGTTTTTTTTTAACGCTATTGCCCTATCGTGCACATTTATTTTGTGCTTGCCTTTCCCAACAGAAATGAGCTAGGAAGGATTATAATTAAGGACGGAAAATCGAACCTCAAGTAAAAGTTCAAATAATCAATCAACTGAATACATATGTAATAAGACTCCCAGAAATTCAATACTTCACTTTAGTTTAAATTGAGAAATTAACAACGGAATAGCACTATAGAGGAAGAAAACTAACATGATAAATATTTAAAATTCCATTCCTTTAATTTGACCCCAAATAAATCTTCTTCTTTTGAATCTTCAAAGTAAAATAATTTAACTTCGATCATAAATTTAGGTACAATAATTAATAATTTTAAAAAATTAACACTGGTTTAAATTTTGAAATTAAAAAGATATGAGGTAAATTAGAATGAAATAATGTTATCTCATAAACATAAATTATTATGTCAAAGTTTCAGTGAGGGAGTCTTTTTGCTATAGAGATAAAAGTTGTTTGAAATTAACCTTTTGATTCAGGTGGTAACCGAAACAGTGAAACAGCTCGAAGAAGAAGATGAAGATGACATGGAAGAATCAGAGCAAGAAGAACCCTAAAAAGAGACCTATTTCCCAATTCGAAAACCTCCCTTTCGATCCTACTGACGATTCCATTTTTCCTGAGGAAAAACTTCCTAAAAACGAAGAGATTTCTAATGTTAATGGAGATGATGATAACGATACGATCAAGCTTGTTGAGTCCTTTCAACAACAAGGAAATAAGCTTGCTGAGGTATTTCCTCACATGGGTTTCTCTTCTTTTTTCTGTATTTTATTTAATTTTTCTCCTTTTCAATCTGTATGAGGTTATTCAGTGCGTATAATTTACAGTTATTGTTTGTTCTTTCTATTATATGAGCATAAATTATTTTATTTTTAAAAATAGATTGTTGATTAGTTTTAGCAAATTGCTGTTAGATGGTATGGTTATCACTTGATATTGTTTAGTATCTATATTTATTAGTTGGAAATAAAGTAAAAGATTTTGTTATGTTTTTTCTAGTGTTGTTCTAAAGGAGTATTAGTAATTTCAATAGTTCTAAGTTGTTTATCATTCTTATTTAGCCTTCATTTACTTGAGTATTTAGGAATTAAGTTGGTATTCTGGTTAGCCTGAGGTAATAGTGGTGTCTGGACTAATGTTCATGCATTTCTAGTATTGGACTGATCCCTACATCCATACATAATAGTGTTGTTCGTCGAGGTTTAAGCAAATGAAAAGGAATCACCAAACTTTTTGCCTCGGCTTCATTAAAACTGCATATACCATGGTCTTTGTTGGCTCCTCAACCCTTGGGTGCATTGTCGTCCCACCTTTTTATTCCCTTCTTTCCATCATTGTCTCTCTTAATCTCTATTTCTCTGTCACTTCCTCTTTCTCTTTTCTTCTTCCTTTTTCCTCTTCTTACTTCACATCAGTAGTAACTCTATATCTTCTAAGGAACTCCAGAATAAGGCAGGCTGGGTGTGATGTTAGTATTAGGGAGGTTTTTATTTCATCTGATTACTGAACTTAGTTAAAGTAGTTGTTCTATTGATAGACGTGTATTGGATTTACATATTTAACTAGATAGCTTGTTTTCTTCCATATGTTTGTCCTTGTTTCCTCTTCTTTTGGGATGAATAAGATTTCAACATATTACTTTTTGCTTCAGTAAGCTCTTAGGAGGAAGAAGTCATTGTAAGTAAGTAGGTGAATATTTTAATGTAGCAATTTATGTCTCTTGAGGTAAATCGAGCATCTTGTGTTTGATCATTGAACTTCTTACATGTAACGATAATCAAGACAAATGATTTACTGGTAAGGATCGCATGTGTCTCCTGAAAGGCCTATATCGTTTCCTGCTGCCAACAATTCATTTTGTTGGGCATTATATAAACCCAGGGTAACTCTTTGTTGAGGGCTGGGGCATGCCCTGACTCCAGATTTGTAAACACCCAAAAAAAATATTAGGGCTCATGGGATAAAAAATAATAATCCAGGGATAGAATGCACTCAATGCAGGATTATTTAATCCCCTGTTTGGTTGTTTTTGGTATAAGCATTTCTCAGATTAGTTGTAGCACGTTTTAGTATTATGTTTAAATGACGTTCGATGCGAGATAACAATCCAGGGATTAGATGTTCGGGACAAAGCAATCAAATGACAAAAATGTTATTCACAAAAGCTCTTTCCCAAAGTTTTTTAAGAGGGCCAGGGTTAAAATTGTAAATAAAAGTTTGTCTATTGTAAAATCAAGCCCATGTTTTATATTATGCTCTCAATGAATCAAACATCTACAAAAAGAAGTGTATATATATTATAATCCTGGGTTAACGTATTTGCAAACCAAACAACCCCTTAGAAATTAATTGTGTCATTAAAGTTTGGAGTTGTGAGTTGGAGGTCAAAAGTTCAGTCTTTCAAATAGTTACCTTGCTATGTGAATAGGAAGGCTATTTGCTAAGTGGTTGTACACCACCACTTGTCGGGCGTCAAAGTTGCAGTAAGTTAACTGTAAGAGGATGAACTGAAGTGAAGAGTTAAATCTTGAAACTAGCTTCTTTGTATTGTAGAAAGTAAGAATATGCACAGCTGCTTGTCATGTTAACTAACACATTTTTTTGAGGAGGAAGGGGGATTTAGTGATGTTTCATACTCTTTATCTTAAAGATGAGCTTTAGCGCGATGGTAAGTTGAGTGTGAAATGACCTCACTATGAAGTATATTTTGCATGATACTTTAAGGCAACACTACAACGGTAAATCTACTGCAGAAAGTAAGACTTAATACAGTTGCTTATAAAGGTAAGGTTGTACTACATTTTGCATTAATACTAATAGCTGAGGCTAAACACAATGCTAACTTTATTTATGGTGGCTCTGAAGTTGGAAAGAAGCCTTAAAATAGCCTCCGCATAGAATAAAAAGTTAAGGCTATATACAGATTTTTAGTACCAAAAGTTACACTAACAAGAGAACACATTAGTAAGTAAGTATATGTTGAGGTGAGAACCTTTTTTGGAGGTCTCCAACATATCCTAAATGCTGAGGAATACTGCATTACCAGTTTATTTCTAAAAAAAGTATATGTTGAGGTGAGTTGGATGTCAGAAGTTCTCTTGCAGATGGCCTGGTTGCGGTTCAGAGAGTGAGGCTATGCACACATGACCTCTTTTGCAAACCTCAATATCTATGTTGCAAGGATCTTTTTTATCTCTGGATAAGGGTGTGAGACTCTTACCACATTTGGTCACTCAAACCCTCATTGAGTCCTCGAGGAATATTTTTTTTGGATGAGTGATTTCGAACACTTTATTGATTGTTGATATCATTTCCAAATTCCAACAGCATGATCCAGATGCCAGGGTTAAGTCTCTTCTCTTTTCTTTCCTTTTTTTTTGAAGGAAGGGAAATATCGTGAAGCACTTGGAAAGTGGGAATCTGCTCTACTTTTGATGCCAGATCGTGCCATTCTGCATGAACAGAAGGCTCAAATTTTGCTTGAACTTGGAGAAACATGGAAGGCGCTACAAGCTGCTACTCGTATGTTTTGACACTCACATTAATTCGAATGAAATTCTCCTCATTTCCTGAGCAAATTATGCTGAGATAATGTCAATTCACAAACATATTTTACTTGGATTTATTTTCAATGTTATATCTCATGAAAGGTTATGCACCTACTTTTATGCTCTGAAGCTTCTTAGTGCCTACTTTTGACTCATCTTTAAGGTTATGGACAAATCTGGCAAATATATCATTTCAAATATGATCTTGATAACAGCCGAATGTGGGAACCTAGAGCAAGACTAAGTTTATTTTTTACTTATCTTTTCCTTGGCATTGGAAGATTTTTCTTTTCCACATTCTTCCTGTTGTAAATCTATATCTGGCATATAGATATTCAAAGATGGATTTTAGCCTACTTTCATGGTCACTAATGTCCTCTTAAGTCATTGATCTGTGTTTGTGTATAAAATAACTTCAGATGATATATTTCATGACTCATATGTAACCTGCTTCCTGTTTGAGCAGGTGCAACTGAGTTGGAACCAAGCTGGGGTGAGGTGTGTGTGAAACTGTTGATCATTCAGTTTTACTATTGTTTCACCTGTTGTTAATATACCTGCTTTAGGGATGTAAACGCAACTCTTAGTGCACTGCAATAATTGGGGACCCTCACCATCCTTGCTTAATATCATGGGGGATCCTGATGAACAATGTAACATATTTTTTATGTGTGATCTATTCAGTTTCAATACTTATAAGACTAATTTGTCAAACTTCAACTGGCTATAAGTGTCATGGGCTAGTTTTCATGTGCAAAGTCCTCTGGATTTCAGCCTTAATTGTTCACCCAATGTGCATATTACTTCCTTTCTGTTCTACCTCTTTCTGCATCTATTCCCTAGACTAGGCAAATTCAATGCTTCCATGTCTTCACTTGGTAATAAATTACTGGCTTTAGAGGTTAAGATAGGTAATTAGCAGTGTACCGACAAGCTACCTCATGATAGAAGCAGCTTTGCACTTTGAACTTCCTGGTCATACTTGCGTGCATAGTTAAGCTTAGAGCTTGATGGAATGATCAAGCAAAAGGCACTCTCTTTTTCTATTCCGTTTCCATAATCCAAACTATTTACAGCTTTGGAAAATGAAGCTTAGACTAAAAGGCAGTTGACTGCAAGCTTCTGGTTCTTAGGGAACGGTCAATTTCTACTATCACTAGAATGTACACTACTTTATTCCAGTGCTTATTGCTAGTTCTTCTGTCTGTTGCAGGCGTGGGTCACCCTTGGTAGAGCACAGCTGAATTATGGTGAGCCTGACAGTGCTATAGAAAGCTTAGACAGAGCACTAGCCATCAAGGTATAGATTAAATTTATAACTAATGCTCACGCTTGCTTCTTCTGAGGATCTTTTTTAACTGAGATGTTTCCTTTATGAGTAAATGGATATTCTTTGCTTTTAATGTATTACACCAATACCAAAGGTCAATATTACTACCTTTGTATCTGGAGGACAAACTGTCTTTTGAGATTTAAGCAATTGTCTAACTTCTATTCATCTTGCTTCTATCACATCCTAGTTCTGAAATGTTCAGTGGAATATTGTGCTAAGTGTGTCAGATTGATTGCCTTTGTAATTGATGCGCACGTATTTAGTAAACCACTTATGCACCATAAATCGGACTTGTTTTGCAGCCAGACTCTGCTGAGGCTCGTAATGATCGACAAGCTGCCTTGCATCATATTCAGAGGAGAAAACAGTTACAGACATCAGGTTTGAGCATGAACCAAAACCGTTTTGCTGTAGTGGACAAAACTGAGAGCACTTGAACGTTTGAAAACGTAGGGTTAATCTCATTACATATGATGCTTTGATCCGATAAAATCCTGAGGCTAGGGAATACTTTCTGCCACATTTGACTTCGAGTCATGGTTTCAAAATGCTGGTTCAGCTATAGAAAGAGTTGTAGGTGCAATATCAGTGAGGAGAGAAAATAGCCAGAAGGGTTGACAATGATAAAACATGATGCCTGGGCACTGAAATGTCTACTTGTATTATAGATGATGCTCTATGGCTCTAACATAGAGTTACTTTATAGCTATGATTGTTTGATTATTCTGATTAGTAATATATATCTACACGTTCTGGTGTGCAAATCAAGTGAATGACGTTTTTTACCTTCAAAAAGTGCATCTGATTTGTATCAACCAGTGAAAGAATTTGTTTCACACCCAATGGTACCCAGCCACCAATTTTTTTTCTAGAATTTGTTAGGACAACATTTTTTTGCTGATGTATCAAACGCTAAAATATATTTTATAAAAAACACTTTTCTTCCATTTGCACCAAGCGCACTGTGCTTTCCCTTGCCAAGGTGTTTGTGTTTCTAAGTCAAGTAATGGTGACCCATTGAAGACTGGAGTCTTGTAACATATTGCCAGATGCCCCTAAATTGAGGGTTCGGTTAGTAGACGGGACGACTTTGTCTCCCCGAAAGAAGAATAGCCTAGCACTCTAGCTGACTGACCTCGTTGACCCTATAACTAGGAAGAAACATGTCACATTAGAGGTGAGTGATCAAAGGTGTAACATATACTTTTTAAATGGAGCATTCTGAACACTTGTTGGCGTAGAGTTCAGTGAAGCATCAACATAAAATAAGACTGATAGCTTCGCCGTCCGCATGTAACTTGATATACAACAAGCCAAGATAATGCTGATCCCTATTTAACTCCATACAGTTTATGCAACAAATGTAGTGATAGCAACGTTGGGCGGGTTTACAACTAGGCGGGACAGGGTGGGTTCAAATAATAGAAAAAATGTGGGACAGGGCGAGTTATGGGTCTACGTTCTTAAGATATTGAAGGAACAATATGAAAAAAAAAAATCAATAAATAAAGAAAAATAAGATTTGAACAAAAAGATATTAAGAATCCAAGGAATCTAAGTTGGATGGAATAAGTGGGGATACTCACAATTAAACTTGGAATAAAATTTATACTACATTTGGTAGAATGTATTAATTCATATCGTATAAATATAAATTGTATCCCATGTTTAACTTTAAGATATCCCATCTTATCTCATGTACCAAACAACCACTAAAAGAATTGATCAAGTGTATAGTACAGAGAGCAGAAATTTACAGAGAGAATTTGATCAAATAAAGTGTAAAAATATGTGCAAGTATACACAGGTTATAAAAAAAATGGAAAATACCTTGTTAACTTTGTACAAAGACGTTTAAAATATTTACGACATCAACAGCTCAATCTTACCATTCTTCACTTCATTCTTGATGGACCTAAAACTTATCTCTTTCTTTCTCAATCTCAAAAAATATATCCACACAACAAATTAGAACTATACACAGAACAACACATGCAATGAGTAAAGAAAATAACGCCAGGAATATTTACCTTGTCACTGTATGATAAAGAGGACGCCAGTTGGAAAAACAACTGTAGTTTGAAGTTTCTGTTATCATTTTATATAAAAAAGAAATAGCAAATGATGGGCGGGAGGGGAACGGGTTGAAGTCTTCACAGGTTTAAACGGGTTTGCCCTGAAACCACCCTGTTTGCTATCACTAAACAAAGGGCATAAACAACAAATCAGGATAGAGAAATTCCCAGGTTTACATGGGTTTACCCTGAGACTGCCCTGTTTGTTATCCCTAAACATATGTCATAAACAACAATGCAGGATAGAGAAATTCCCTTTGACATTCAGAAAGTCAGTTAATCCATATGCCCTTCTCTCATTTTACAACCACATGGAACAGCAGTTGCTGATAACCCCAAGAAGCAATATGTACTAGAAAATACAATCTGAAACACTACAGGCATGGCTTGTAAGGACTATCAGTTAGACAAGAAATTGTATGCTACCAAATCTGAAAGTTCGCCACTAGTATCTTCCTTACAGGCCAAACCACCGGTAAACAGGTCATGTACCACTGTCAACTGGAACCAAACCACATCCTTCATATACAGAGCTACCATAATTCATGCAATAATTGAGTCCTATCAGTCTTTTGATCCTAAAGCAGCTAAATCCTCCTGGTAGTTCAGAGTTTTGGCAGCATCTAGAAGCATTTCCATACCTCCAGATTCATTTAAAGCTTCCTCATCCTTACCTTTTGGTACACCTAATTCTCCACATTGTTCTTTTCTCTTCTTCGCTTCATTTTGCGAAGACTCAAATGCCTTTCTTGCTTTGCGTATGCGCTGTATCTGCACATCACATTTTTTGCAAAACCATTTCCCTACAGGAATTGAAGTGTGTGGTGGTTGCATGCAGAAAATATGATAAGCATGATCGCAGCCGTCACAAAGTACGATTTTGTCATCATCACAATCATTCAGGCAAGCTCTACACAGACACGAGGGGCAGTACCAGCAGGAGCCAGAAGCATCCAACTGCTTTCTGGTCAAGCACCTCTCATGGTAAAATTTGTGAGGGCAGAAGGAATGACCACATATTCTAACATTGTCATTACTCACCACAGTTCTACATACGTTGCAACAGGGCGAATCCTCAACTCCTTCACAGAGTTTAAGTTCACCATCCACTAAACCATTCGTGCTATCCTCCAATTCTAGAACCATATCTTCAGATGTAAGGTCTTCAACCTCATTTTCAATTATCACTGAGCTAGACGTGGTGAGTCTTTCGCATACTACACAGTTGTCATGGGGTGATTCCATTCCTTTGGCAGTGCATTTGGCACAATACCAACTTCTTATGGGAATTTCTTTAACAGTAGGCTCAACACAAGAGAGATGATAAATCTCCTCACATGAATCACAAGCTAAACTATCCCCACCATCCGCTTTCTCTCCACAACATTGGCAAGCACATCTTTTATCTACACCATAGGTCTCTGCTTGTTCCATTTTAGCAACTAACTGTCAACATCAAAAAGAAAAGAAAACATAGTAAACTTGAATTTTAATATTTAAATATATCTGCAGTTTCAAGTTGTAGAAAGAAATAAAATACGATGCCAAGGCAATCCCTCAGATTTTTTGTGATTTTTACTTTGTGGGTTTCATAAAGTAGATATCAAGTTGCAGCACTGAGTCCAACCAAAAGCAAGAATTTTTTACTTTATACTTTCATATTAAAACTAAGAGATAATTCCAATGATGTGGAACTCTCAAGGTTTGAAACCAAAAGCAAAATAAGCATACGACAAGCTTTTTCTTTAAAATGGTGGTGATCAAGCCAGTTGCACACACCTCGACTATTCCATTAGGTACTACCTTAAACTAGCACAGGTACACTCAGCACCAACGCTTAAACGCATGGAAAGAAATCACCTAATGTAATTTTGGTGCTGCTGGGATTTGAATCTTGGTATCTAAGGTATGCACTCACTTCACTGACAGTAGGTAATACACCCTCGGTTCCAGTAAATACTATATATGGAAGGTACCTATATATCCCCATAAAGAGCTTTTTTAGATGGATCTCCCCATAAAGGGCTTCCAATACCACTTCTAGGAGCTTGGTTACATTATTTGCCTGAGTGGTTCCCCAAGAAATCTGGAATAACTGCAAGTACTTGGTTGGTGACATGCACTTGCCAGTTGCCACAACCAAATTTCCAGAATTGAGAGGTATTACCATTGAATGAGAAATTTTATGCTACAAGAACAGTGAAGGATTTGAAATTTCCGGGCCGACAATTTTCAAAAGCTGTTTCTCCTCCAAGAAGCTAACTAGAGAACAACCAAAATTACCAATAATCTACCACTAAAACGGAAACACAAAAGCATGACGGAAAAGAAGGCTTGCCTCCTCTTTTGTATCTTCAGCGTTTTCATGCACTGAACCGCTCACCTAAAGAGGTAACAGGTTAAAATCATAGTCAATTTTACCAGCATTGTGTGCAAAAGACGGAAGCAGCTCAATGAACCAAGTGTTAACAAGAAACCACGTACCTGAGCTCGGAAACAACCCCTTGATATTTCTGAAAGACTCCTTGAAAGAGAAATCATTTCACTGCCAACTTCATTCAGCTTTGTCCACATCTGCAAATAATTCAGGATGACGATACATGAGTTAGAACTATCTCCAGCACATAAAAATAGGACAATCCATGCAAATTCAAGTCCCAAGTTAGTCATTCAAACCATTCATTGTGTAATTATATTACAACAATTAAAAAATGTTTCATCAGCAATGTGTTGCTTCAGATAAAGGTAGAACCATAGACAATGGAACAATCTTCCTACACGTATCATTCAAAGAATGAGAGTTATTTACATGTGTACAAGCAAGTCTAAGGGAACAGAATCAGAAGCAAATTTATCTAAAGGAAACAAAATCAGAAGCAAATCTATCTACGGAAACAAAATCAGAAAATCCCTAAATATATTATATTTATGATTATGCCCAGTTTTGTAAACAACAGGACATGGTCCCCATGAACTAACTCAAAAGCTGACTCAACTCGTTTATTAACCCTTGGACCTAATGAGATGCGATGGTGTTTTGCAAATTGACATGACTCACAATCCAACGATGAAATATTTTGAAACTGAGGACAAAGTTTCTTCAACATAGGTAAAGACAGATGACTCAATCGACAATGTGCTTCAAATGGAGACACAACACTAGAGCAGGCAACGGATCGAGATTCACGTTCATCAAGGATGTAGAGATCATCGGATACATGTCCTTTACCAATAACCTGGTTCATCGTAAGATCACGAACCAGACAATGACCGGGAAAGAAAGAGATATAACACTTACGGTTTCTTGTAAGTTTACTAACAAAAATCAAATTAAAGGCCAATTTTGGTGGACCTAATACAGATAACATGGTAATAGATGAGGTTGGTTTAACCGTACCTGATCCAAGACAATTACAAGTTGATCTTTCAGCTACAGTAACCGGAGAGGGTGCTTTGTGTAATTGAAAGCTAGAAAAATGTAAGGATTACCCGTCATGTGATATGTGGTACTTGAATCAATTATCCATTTATTTGAAGAGGTGATGAGACATGATTTATGACTTAGCAAAGAAGTTAATTGAAGCAGATTCCTTCTCTGATTTATGATATTGAAAGAATTTAGCAAACTCATTGCCGGAAACCCGAATTATTTTCTCAGATGATGGGCAAGAACCAAACATTTTTGAACTAATGTTTAGTCCAAAAGGATTTTAAAATAGA